CCCCAAAACCCCAAAACCCCAAAACCCCACAGTAAAAAATATGGTTGAAAATCAGTAGTTCGTTTAATTTATAATTTAGAAGTTCTTGTTATTTGATAATATCTTAAATAAAATGAACTCTTTATATTCCAGTTAAAAAAGCATGAAATTTCACTAGTCTAAAAGCATTCATGAATAGCCTTACAGCTCTCCTGACATTAAAAGAGCGAGTTCATATTTAGATAAAATAGGGAGTATTATCTCTTCAAAAGCTTTTTAAAAAAATATTGTCGAATTGCGTAAACATCTAATCAATGATGGTTTTCAAGAAATAAGAGATTAAACAAATAGTGGGGCACTAATGGGATTCATAAGGATAGAAGACCCTAAAGAAGAAGATAAAACAATTTCATAGCAAGATTACAGAGGATTAAAAGCCGGAATGATTATCAGCTACAATCTTGCAACTTATTAAGGCAAAATTCTAAATAATAAAAGAGAAGGATTTGGAGAAGAAACTTATCCAGATGGAAATTTGTACAAAGGAAATTATCACAATGATTTGAGATTCGGATCTGGTATCATGACTTATAGTTTAAACAGAAGAGATTACGGTACTATTAGATATGATGGATAATGGATGAATAACAAAAAATAAGGACATGGTACGGAATACTACTGAAATAAAGAGCATATTGAGTTTGATTACGATGGAGATTTTTTTAACAACCAAAAGCATGGAACAGGAAAATTATCTCTTCCTTATTAAGACTTTAGGGAGGGGTAATGGAAAAATGGAGGTTAAAATGGGATGGGAAGACTAAGACTTACTGACTTTAACTACTAAAGAAAAAAAGTTCAAGATATCTTAAAAGTGTTTTATTCTTAGACTCTAAATCCACCAAGAGATCAGATCTATCTATTTGCTAATATAGATTATGAATAAAGACGTGATGAACCGCCTGGTTATGATATCGTTACTGTCATTTCAAATTATAATGGGGAATTCAAAAATAACTTATATGTAAACTAAAATTACCTTAATGTTTTAGCATGGATAAGGGCAACTCTAATAAAATTTTACAATAAGGTTAGATGAATAGAGAACTCTTGACTTCAGTATAATGCATATTGGATAATTTGAAAATGGAATGAGGCATGGATTTGGAGTTTCAATGATCCATCTTTAATAAGTCAGTGAGGAAAATAAAATTTAATCATACTCAAAGACTGATTTAAAAATAAAAGCTCATTATGACCATGATGAATTAGCATTTACTTATGAAGATAAAATACCAGATCACAACTAAAGGATTGACAATGAATCTAAAAGTAATTTTGAATCCTAGTAATAACGTTTTAACTATAGATTTAAATGCAGTCCAATTATTTCACTATGACGACTCTCCTGAATAACTCATGGATAATTTGTTACCTTTTAATCTAAAGTTAGAAAAGCATTTGCTAGATTATTCGAAGAAAAATAATGTCTTGGACATATTGCCCTTTAAGAAAAATTAAAATTCTCCTGAGATAGATCTTAAAATGTAAATATATTCCTTCTGTTTTTTAATGTTAATAGTTACGATGAGTAAATGTTGAAGAACTTTTAATTTGAAAAATATGTCATTGAAGATTCATCTCTAAGAAATGAGTACATTGACTTTGATTCAATCCTCTCAGTAATGATACTTCTAAATTCCAACTAAGATTTACTAGAGGAAATATTTATATATTCGAAAGTCAATCATCACTGGGTTTGCTTAAAATTATTCAATGATCTATCTATTGTTGAAGTACCTATCAAAGTAAGATATAATGACAGCATAGAGAAATACTAAAATATTGATGCGAATGATACATTTGTTCAATGGATACCTTTGATATGCCAAGGTATTATACATGTCTGGAAAGATCAAAATTAAGGATAAAGCATTAAAGCTCAATTTCAGGATATTTGCAAAATAGTTTTTGGGGCTGATCCATTGGTCTTACTTTCTTCTCAAGGCAGAATGAATTTTGATGCAACAGACAAGTAATTATTCTAAGAAATGTATCGAATGAAATGTATCTATGCAGGACTCTTAGATCTAGAAGTTAAAAGAAAAAACACTGCATTATTCATGCCGAAAGATGCTTCTGTTTAAAATTGCAAAAAGGTTTATCTTCCGATTAAATTCGATTATCAAAATTCCTCAAGAGTATTTGATCATAAAGTAATAATAAATCGCTTCATTCCAATTGATCCACATTATTGCGATGAGAAGGAAGCATTTGGGCATTTCAGTGAGCTTTACTTGATCCCAAATCTATCTAGAAATCATTACAGCCACTCTAAGATACTTAAGAATTTAAAGCCTAAGCATTTATTCCATGTATTAAATTCATTCTTTTTTAATATTTTTCCTTTTAGAACGTATGCTTTGAATTCAAAGTTATTATGAAAACAAAACTTTAATTCAAGATTAACCATGGCCGTTATAAAGATTCATCTGGCAAAACAGTACTTCCGTTATAAATAATAATCGTCCGAGATAGAATTATTAAGTAGGAAGACGCTTTAAAGAAAAGTTTTGCACTGGGCAAAGATGAGATTTATCACGAATACCACAGTGGTCAAGGACAATCTATTGATGGAAAAATTATATTCAACCCTGCTGGAGAATTTGAGCCTGGCAAATACTAAATAATGTGTGAAATTGAATATGAAGCTAAAAAGTATAGTTTGAACGCTAAAGAATAAAAGATAAGTTAATAATTTGATTAGCCAATGCCTTATGTGATAGAAATTGGATTATGGTCTATAAATTGCTATGTTTAGATTCATCATTCTAAATCCAGCAGTTTAGACAACTAGAAAATTTACCGAAATGCTTTTGACTCTTACTTAAAATCAAAGCATGAAAAACTTTACATAATAGAAACAGGAGAAGGAGCTAAGAAATTATGGATGAAGTAATATTATATCAAGCCTCATCTAACTTATGTATAAATCTTCAGAAATGAGAGTGAATCAATAAAATGGGTCCATGAAAAATAACTAGTACTCAAAAACATGATTATGTATGAAATCGAACCTGAGTTTGAAGATATTAGCGGGAAAACTGCAAATTTATAAGAAGTCATTTCTCAGGTTGTCCCTGACGAAGAATAAGATGTTCCATTTAGTGTTTCCCTTGGAAAAGCTACAAAGAAATATGTTTTCATAAGATAGATTCGAGCATCAAGTAAAATAAAAATTTTAAGCAAAGATGTAAACAACCAGATTTCAAACCTTATAGACAATAATATCTCAAATTAATGAAGGCAAAATCATTTATTATTATTCTAGGTATCTGAGAGTTAAGCAAGCCATGATTCAAGAAACAAGTTTATTTAATCTTTATTTCATAAATTCCTATCTATTTTCACCTGGCGGGGTTTTGGGGTTTTGGGGTTTTGGGGTTTTGGGG